GCAGCTCCCAGCATGTTGGGGAAAGCTGTAATATTGTTAATATTACATCTCTGGCACTGTTCTTCCAGCATCCACTCTACGGTCTAAATGGAAAGCCTCTCCACCATTCACTGCTGCCTGTGTCTCCTTAGGTGGATGCCAGTGTGGAGGCCCGAGCTCAGGGCATTACAGTGTTTGCTGTTGGAGTCGGCAGTGAGATCACCACCTCAGAGCTGGTATCCATCGCCAACAGGCCGTCATCTGCCTATGTCCTATACGCCGAAGATTACACCACCATTGACCTCATTCAGGGTTCCATGGAGCAGAAGCTCTGTGAAGGTTGATATCTAGTCCCTCTCTGTACTTGACATGTCTATAAGGACTCTTCTTAATTCTCTGTGTTACAAGTTCACGCCTTTCTTCAAACAATAACCTCGATGTGACTTGACAGATACATTCCATCATGCAGGTTGAAGTTGTGTCAATGAGTTTAGTCATAAGGGACTTGAGGAGCGCTGGGTACCTGGTAGTTCCTCCCACTTCCCATTACACTACATTACTATGCGTGTGTTAATTCCTTTAACAAGCACTTAATCATGTACCTCGTCCGCTTGCATTAGGTCAACATGTTCTAAGTTCTCACTGACTTGAGGGAAGAGCAGAGGGAAGCAGAGAGTAGCTGCAGACATTGTGTCCCCATGTAGGAGAAGCAGGACTTGACATCAATAAGGGCTTCATCTTCTGGCTTTCACTGGACGTTCCATGTTTGCGTCATGGGTTGAGCTCAGGCTTTGGCGTGAGGTTTGCGTAGCTGACCGAATGACCTCTCTTCTTTCTAGAGTCTGTTTGTCCAACACGAATCCCGGTGGCCTCTCGGGATGAGAAAGGCTTTGAGCTGCTGCTGGGCATGAACATTCAGAAGAAGGCCAAGAAGATCCCTGGCTCTTTGATTTCGGAGGCCGCTTACGCTCTGACGGCTTCCACCGACATTACTGAAGACACCAGGTAGAATTTACAAATCTATCTGTTTACTCCATCAACTGTTCTGTGTATTTAGTATGTCGACCTCTTCCTCGTACCAGGGACATCTTCCCAGAAGGCCTCCCTCCTTCCTACGTGTTCATAGCCACCCTGCGTCTAAAGGGGACTTCTAGCCGGCTGACCTTTGACCTTTGGAGGGTGCTGTCCAAGGATAAGGAGATACAGGTCGCAGTGACACTGAGTGGAAAGGACAAAAGTGTCGTCTTTACCACCACTAGCTTAACTGCAGAGGAGCAGAGAGTCACCTTCAGAGGCGTCCAGGTTGGTGTTTATAAATACGACAAAATACCAGAAACACAAAACATGTTACTGAACGATGAAGTAATAAAGTATTGTAATATCCGTTGCATGTCATTTTTTTTATTTTATGTCAACGGTCCTCTGACAAAATGTAGTAATATATTACGTCTTCCCCGAATATTCATCCGTCCATCGTATAAAAACACAGAGCCACTGATTCGCGACCCCCTCTTTGCTCATTCACACCCAAGCAGTTAATCACTTCCTTTTCTCGGAAAATAGCAAAAACTCAACCAGACCTGAATGTCACATGCGTATTACATCCAACTCATAAAGAAGCCAGTTAGGAACATGGATTCTTCCTCTGCTAAGAACAATAAGGACTGAAGCCTCCTGCAGTGTCTCCATTCAGGGTCACTTTCCCATCAAATGCTCCAAATTGACTCTAATGTGCATTTTGTTACATACGTGACCTTTGGGCAGCAGAAGCCTGTGATGAAGCTGTGGTTCCCTCTCCAGTCAGAGCTGGAGGAGGAAGGAAGAAAGCTACAGTTCCTCCGCAGGGCAGCAAGGGAAGTTAAGCCAGGAACACAAGGCAGGGAAATAGGAACTAAAAGAGGAAAGCCCAAACACTGTGGCAGCATTGTGGTAGGATCCTTCAATCAGTATGTATTATGAGTCGTGCTGTATTATACGGTCTGTTTGATGCATGAATCAAACCCGATCGTCTAAATCACTCAAATTATTCTAATGTATTACTTCAAAATGTACAGTATTTTGGACGTAGCGCGTATGATTTTGAAGGGTCTTGTTAAACCAGGTATCCCAGCATATTATGTCTCAGCTCCTTTCAGTCTTCAGATGAAATGACTCCCAGTTAAGGATTTGTTGTACTTGAGAGGACCTTAAGAAATAATGTATTTATGAAATATCTGTGCCTCATCTCAGACTCTTTATGACGGAAAGTGGCATCAGCTCAAAGTCCTGGTGAGACCACGTCAGGTCAGCAGTTTCCTGGACGATCTGCTGATCCAGGAAGAACTGCTGGAACCGGTGGAGCCCATCTACATCAATGGAGAGACCCAGGTTGCTAAGAGACGGGGAACCGACCTCCCTGTGGCCGTGAGTACAAACGAGCCAACGTTTTGACTCAAAGTGCAGGGGACACGTGTGTCTGACTCACGGAGGAGTCAATCAGAGGGACGGATTCAGGTGTATCAAGCAACATTTAAACTGAGGAAATTAGATAATATTATACAAAGTGAATAACTGACTAGTCTGTGATGAAATAGGTGAAATCTCTCATTTGTCCTTCTGTAGCTCATCTTTTTGGCTCTCATAATAATTAAGTCATTTCATTAATAATCCACTACTTCTTACCCAAACAACATTTCCATTTTTCTGACCACTTGTCTTTTTATTCAGGTGGAGATTCAGAAGCTTCGTCTGTACTGTGACCCTCATCAGAGCGAGAGAGAAACGGCGTGTGAGATCTACTCTGTGGTGAGACAACTATCACCTCCCACCACATGTAGGCCCCTCGGTGTGCAGCACACGGCCTTGCAGCGGTCCTCACCCACCTGCCGGCGTCCAATCCAGAGCCACACGGCCCACACGGTCCACACAGCTGTCTCACAGTCGTGACTGACGGAAGTCATGTGACCCTCGTGGCTCATTAGTCAGTCAAGTTCACGCCCACCAAAAGCATTTGTCCTTCCATGACGCCATAACCGAATGTCCTGTGAAGAAGGACGTTTTTCCCAGCCTTCACGGTAGACCTGGTCTGGTCCTCCAACGGCCGCATAGGCCGAACAGAGCGGTCCCTGAAACGGGACGGTCTGTCCTGAGGGGGGACTTTACCTCCACTGCCCCCGTTGCCTTGACAGTAAAAGCCTCATAACAAAAATGTATAACATGCAGATAGAGAAGGTGATCTTCGGTGACTGCTCGGTCCTCATGAGGACGCAGCCGCTGAAGTGAGACCAGCTAAGGAGTGGACAGTGACGAGCTGTCCCTGTATCCTGCTGGAGGGGAACCAGAGCGCCACAGATCAAGAGATGAATGTGTTCTTATCCACTGTAATCTGCCCTGTAAAGGTCACATTGTGTACTTCTGCATGTATCTGCGTGTGAGAGGCTACAATGATGATAATGAGAATCACCTTTTTCTCTTGTCCTCTGTCTCATGCAGGACGATAAAAGGGTAAGTGCAGTGTCTGTCCTCTATGCTCCTTCTGCAAATTACTGACATGCTGGATAAAGAAAATGAGAAGAGCTCATTAATAATGATACGGGGAGGAATATGAATGTGTTCTTATGAAGGCTGGATGTCACCCACGTCAATCAGTATTGATGCGGGTTTTATATTTGATTTGATTGCATTAATGTTTCAATTGGGATGTACAATAAATATTTGAGCTGCTACAGTGTAAAAGAAATACTGCTGTTTAAAACCAAATTATTCTATTAATTTCAACTTTTGTTCATAAAGTAGTACTTTTTAACAAAAGTGCACTACTTTTGAATTCATTTGAATTTTGTGCATAAAAATCGACCTGCACTAGTTCTTATATCAACAAATAAATCCTAATATAATACATCTAAAACTCTCCTCGGCAAAACAACAACACTGTTTTTCTGATCGTGTGAAGCAAAGGTGAGTGCAGAGTGGAAATGACTCCATAAGTCTTCCTGTTGGTGTCCTCCTGATGCTTTATTGTCCTCACGATGAAGCTTGGACTGTGTCTCCTCAGTGTCCTCTGAATAGAACAGCCACCGTGGACGAAGAAGACTGCAACTGTGTGGTTGGACCACAAGGGCAGCGTGGGGCGCCCGGTCCCATGGTAAGACGTGCGCACACGTCCTCACTCGTGTACTCGTGCACCCACACGTCACCTGAAGGAGGTAATGGACAGTACTGATACAACCACAGCTATTGTTACTTTGTTATTAGAGTATTCAGATAAAAAATAACTCTTGAAATGACGGAACGGAATTCAGTTCTTGCACAACGTGCACACATTTCTTTTGTGGCAATAATACATCCGCTCCTATTGGAGTCAATGCTGCATCATTCAAATGGAGGTTATCATAACCACTAGTGTTCATGTACAAACTGGAATGTACTGACGTACAGTATATGGAGAGGAAGACAGATCCTCAAATGGAACACTGGAAACTAGAAAACATGCTGCTTCATAGCAGAAAAGTACTTTTCCCAACCTCAACTTCTGTCCTCCAATGGCCTCTAAGGACATCTAGTTGCTGTGAGTGACGCACTTCTAATGTTCACCCAGAGAGGTATTTGGAATCTCCTGGTGTACTTTATGGTGAGTTCCTTGAATATGAAGTACTGAAACACACCGTCCATTTCAACAATTTAGCGTAATCAAGTGATGTTTATTGTATAAGCAGCTTTTAGGTAGAAATATCTATCTGCTCATCCAGGTCAGAGGTCATCATGTAGGCAGGTCGAGGATGCCGCTCACCTCTGCAACACTTTCCAGCTCTTCTGGGGATCTCTAAGTTGCTGCGTCTTGACCAGATACGTAGTTCCTCCAGTATGTTCTCGGCCCACCTCGGGCATCTTACCAGTTGGACTCGCCCGTAAAAAGTCAAAAAGGAGGCGTTTCAAGGTGAAGCAACCGTGGCTGCACTCTGACTTCCCTTCAGACGTCTGAGCTCTTTGACCTCTCTCTAAGTCCGTATTTATCTTCCTCTAGAGAGCGGCTAACATGTTTCTCTTCCTCTAGAGAGCGGCTAACATGTTTAGCGGCTAACATGTTTATCTTCCTCTAGAGAGCGGCTAACATGTTTAGCGGCTAACATGTTTATCTTCCTCTAGAGAGCGGCTAACATGTTTATCTTCCTCTAGAGAGCGGCTAACATGTTTAGCGGCTAACATGTTTATCTTCCTCTAGAGAGCGGCATACCTGCCCAGGTGGTGGCTGCCATCGACGTCAACACGACGGCCAATCAAATCTACAGGCACAACTTCCCCGACACCACCCTCTGGAACAAGACCATTGAGGTGGGTGCTGTCTGGGGGGACCAGTCGACCGGAGCGTCAGCCCAACATCCTCTCAATATACTGACTCTATTCACAGATAATCACGTTTCCCTCTGCAACGTGTTCCCTTTGTGTATCTTCAGGGCATAACTCTAGATGACTTTGATAAATTACCCGTCGACATGATTGTGATGAGCCCTCCATGCCAGCCTTTCACCAGGTACGTCTCCTTGTTTAGCAGTCACACAACGTCACCGTTACTCTCTTATGAATGGATGAGTAACAGCGTTTACCCTGTCTGATCCTTACTTCAACGTTCTGTGTTAAAAACCAACAGTAAGAAGAAGATAGTGTATATGTCTCAGATGATACTTGATCTCTGACTCAAAGGACTCCTTCATTAAGTCACTGAATGATAGAGATATGACTTGGAATGGTGATGATAGGGATTCATGTCATCACTGGAGGAATATGCAGTCAGATAATTAGTTTTCATTAGTTTAAGGCAAAGGCCGGTCTGAAACCGTGCCGTGAGTCTTTCGCACTAGTTAAGAGCGTTCAGAGAGAACAGGGTGACAGGAAGCAGAACTTATTGAGGTGTGAATTACAGCGTCACCACGACTCAAACATTTAGACAATCCGTTGGAAGCGACCAACACTGATGTACTGTAAGCAACAGAGCAGATGGAGATGTATAGAGTCCAGTTACAGGGACGTCTCTTTGACTTTGGGGTCCCTGATGCAACTGTTGCCCCCCTGACCCCTGACCCCTGACCCCGACAAGCGCTCGAAGGTGAATGACTTTGTTTGTGTTCTTTAGGGTCGGACTTCAGGGGGACATCGCCGACTCCAGAACCAAGAGCTTCCTGCACATCCTCCACCTTCTGCCCAGGTGTTTAGTCTCCACATGAAACATGAAGCCCTGATTTCAGCCTGAACGGAAGCTATTTAAAGAACAGAAGACGACGTCTTTGGGTGAAAGTACCTCATTGACCTTTGCATAGAACATCATTTATTTCACCCTATGGAACAGGTGGAGCAGGTCACCTTGTGTGCACCCAAAATAAACCGCTTTCATCCGGTCTTTATTAAAGCTTGTTAGTTAGCACTGTTAGGCGGCGTCATAAGTCTTCAGTAGTGTTTGTGCGCAGGGAGGATGTATGCGATCCTCTGAGTCCGTAACCCGCCCTCCTCTCCAGGCTGTGCCGGCGGCCCCGCTTCATCCTGCTGGAGAATGTGAAGGGCTTCGAGGTGTCCTCTGCCAGGTAACCAGGGGGGGAGGACAGCGTGCACGCAGAAGACACTTGACTGCTTGGTCTCGTTGACGTGTTCTGCTGCTCTCAGTGCGGGAACGCGTGGTCTCACCTCGTGTTGCGTGTGCTCTCTAGGCAGCGCCTGGTGGAGACACTCGTGGAATGCGGCTACACTTTCCAGGAAACCATGATCTCACCCACAAGTGTAAGAAAGACCGGCGGCGTCCTGGGATGCACCCGCCCTACGAGTTGTGCTTGTCTCACTGTTCTGTCCATCAATCCAGGTCGGGATCCCAAATTCCAGGCTGCGCTATTTCCTGACTGCTAAGTTATCAACAGCTAACGAAAGCAGCCAGAGTTCAAAGGTGAGTCCTGGCATCATCTAAGGGAATAAACCAGCTGACCCAACAGGGCTCTGAGGACACACAAAGACACTAATGGTCGCTCTGCACCATCTCCAACCCTGGAGAAGTTGGGGCAGAAGCCACGTCCCCTCCGCCTGCGCGTCCCCTCGGCCTGCGCGTCCCAAAGTGTTTGGAGGTCAGGACCTCACAGGACTGGTGGTGTTCATGTGGTCTCAGATTCCAGAGGCCTTCCCACATCCTGCTGGTGCTTCTCCTCACCAGCACAGCGTCGTCTCCAGTCCTCCCAGTGCAGCTACGGGCCGGCCAGACGAGGACACGCAGGGGGGTCATGTCCTCTATAAGCAAGAGACCGAGAGGGAGGCCCAGAGGAAGACCAGTCAGAACCAGGACCTGTCCGTCAGGCGCATCCGGGACTTCCTGGAACCGCCAGGGGACGTGAACATGGAGCACTACCTCCTGCCCCCCGGCACCCTGCTGAGATATTCCCTGCTGCTGGACATCGTTCAGCCCACCTGCAGGAGGTCCGTGTGCTTCACTAAAGGGTAAGGACACCCTTTACCCCACAGTCGGGTTGTTGTTTGGACTACCGTTGGAGGACGCTGTGAGGACGAGTCCTTAGTGATGGTGTCATGTCTTCTCTCCGTAGCTACGGCCGCTACGTGGAGGGGACGGGCTCAGTGCTGCAGTGCTGCGTGGAGACGGAGGTAGGTTTGTCATGGAGGGTATTGGGCGTAGATGAAGGAAAGAAGGTGTGTGCTTGCTTCATGGTGAGAACGTGCTTCACGACCTCCTGGGTGACATCATCGAGCAGAAGCTCTTCTGCTGTGCGTCCTCCAGATGGAAGAGCGTGTTTGCAG